CATCATAAGAAAGAGATGTACTAGATCACTAGATGTACCTCCCCCCCCCCCCCCCCACACACACACACGGAGAAGATCTAGACCCTGGCATCAGGGACATTAGATATTAAATGTAATACACTATGCCAAGTCCTGCATTTCTTGTACCAATAAAACTTTGCTTGCCCTAGTTGACATCAGTAGCAGCTTTGGATACAAAAGAAATTCATGATCAGGTGCCTAATCTTAAAGAGACAATCAACTTAAAATCTAGTGATTAAAAACAATAGTTGAAAACAGATTCTATTTGGGGTATTATATCTACCCCTAAATTCCCCAATCAATATTTTTGTTTCTTGTGTTTTAAAATTACATTGTATATTATTGTAGATGCTTTTTTTCTCTCTATCACTTTCCAGTGTTGCGTGAAAGACCCACTAAAACAAGGGAAAGAATGCAATTTACTATATACAACATGAGGTCAAATGCATGAAGTAACTGAAAAACAAAACAAAACAAAAAATCCTCAGATTTCTTCCAGTTTCAGTAGACTTAAGTGTAACAATAGTAGTTAAAACAAGTTTCAGATGGAAATGTGTGCTTTTAGCTAATGCTGGTCATTTAAATACAGATATAGAAAGCATCCTGTTTTAAGTCCCAAAATCTTTATGCAAAAATCAATCCCATTATGGCAATAATTTTGGGCTGCAGGACCAGACCCTAATATAGGACATCCCCACTATCTGCATCTTCTAAACAAATCCACCTAGGCAATGATCTTAAAATTCAGAAACAGAACACAAGGTTATGAAGTTTTCATGTGTAATAAACACTTATAAATTGCATCTATTTACATTTAAAACCAACAAAAACTGCTCTTTTTTGTGTGTGTGATCACATAAACAGTCTTGTTAAGCACTTTCAAAGTTAAACCTTCTTCCCAAGGTAAACCATAGAATAATTAGAGCTGGAAGGGACCTACAGTGGGTCAGAGTTCACCCCTCCCCCTTGGTTAAAAAAACGTTATATACAAACATCTCAGCAGTTAAACTAACTTCAAGCATCAACCCTTTTACTGTGATCTTGGGGCTAAAACCTCACATATAATCCCTTTTAGTTTACAGAACTGTAGACCTTTTAAACTGCTGTACTTAAACTTATGCAGAATCACAAGAAGTTTCTATCATTGCACACTCATTAGGCCCAGCTCTGCCCTCTGATAAATACACGCATCTCCCACTAAAGACAGGATCTATTATAAAGCAGCTAATGTGGAATTTAAGGTGCGAAGAACAACAATACTGAGCCAAATCCAGTATGGTACAACTCTGTTGAAGTCAACATAGTTACACTATGCAGAATTTGGCCCATTATATTTACTCTTATAAAAATAAATGATAGTCCCATTAATGCAATTTGAGTAAAGAGTGATTCAGAAACAAACAGGTTAACTATTCTATAACTTCCTTCTGGAAATAATGAATAGCTCAAACAAAAGATCAACATGAAGATGCTGAATACATGGACAGGCATATGCAAACCAAATCTGAAAAGGACTTGAGTGTAAATGTTTACAAATGTACTCTACTTTAATTATAATATATAAATATAGAGAGACCTCTGGTATGTTTCCATCTGAAATAATGTGTTTGGCTCTGAGTACCTCATTACCAGAAAGATAATGACAAGCCGAAGGTAGTTCAGAGAAGATCAATCAAAATCAGAGTGCTGAAGGGAATAACTTAAAAAGAAGAGTTAAAGGCTCAATACTGCAGCTGTTCCATGCACAGAACTTCCATTGACTTAAAGAAGTAGGGGCTCTAAAAAAGACCTAAATATGCACAGCTTAGTTAACCAATGACAAAGGGAAATCATGATTATAATGCACACATAATTGAGGGGTGTAAACACCACAGAGGGAGATAAATTATTTACAGTGCTACAAGTAAATAGAAGTGGGTATAATAGGATGAAATCATTAAAGGGAATTTGGACTGAATATCAGGAAAGTCTTCCTGACAGCAAAATCTCTTAGGCTTTGAACAATTTCTCAAGTGAAGGGGATGGAAAATCCTATCATTGGGAATATTTAAAGCTCGGCTAGACAAAACACTAGAAGTGTATTTGTAGGGAACAATCCTGCATAAGCAATCCTGTATAGGTACTAAATTATGTGGGTTTTTCCTATTCTTAATTTGTAGGATTCTCTGATACATAGTATCTAAAAAGTCTAGTTGTATGTATGACAAGCCCTGTACATAAGTATGTGCTGTAGTAGAAGACACAATAGTTCTAAAATAGTATACAGCAATATTTATCCTGACAAATTCATAATATGACTGCAAACCCTTTCTCACATGAACAATATTTCTGACTTCAATAGTCAAATGATTAAGACCTAATTGCACAAGTACAGCTTTGGAGGATGGGGCCCATTGAACGTACAGATACCAGACTCTATTTTAACAGCATGCAATCTCTTCTTTGTATAACATTTCAGATTTTAAAAGGGCCTTATGTTGTTGTGGCTATCTATCCACCAGTGGCTACTGTCACCTTCAAATCAGCTAGCCAAGTAGCACAATTATTCTGTAATAATGAAGTATGTGAAATTCAAACTCAACCCGAGTTAGGCGTTGCTCCTCTTATAATCCCCCCCATTATATTAAAGCTTTGGGAAAGAGAAGAGACTAATGTCACCATAAGCCCTGCATTTAATGAATATTTCACCAAGAAAAAACAAAGTGGGATATATTAAAATACTTTCTTTGGTGTAATGAGAGCAATTAATTATGAACCACTGATAAATTAGTGCATTAAGACATATATTTGAGAAAAATCCAAAATTATTAATGAGGTTCACAGTTTAAACCAATTAGCTATACTATCTTTTATGGTATTGTGTACTAGCAGAAATCTGTAAATCCATACAAATATTTATGACATGTAGATTAGTTCAGTATCTCCAAAAATTTATGCTTGAAATGATTTCCTCCTGCATAACTCACTTACTGGCTTATTAAATGTCCCCATCTTCTATGTGACACAAAATACAAACTGGCTTCAACATTTCCTACAATTTTATTTGATTATCTTTTGACTTTCTATGAATATTTTCTATTGTGTAAGTAAATTACACATGACTTACTTTAAAGTGTGTATCAATAGCAAAGTCCTACACATAATATGATCACTTAACATTTTCTGCAGTTACACAGTTCTAAGAATATTGTTTTCAAATATTTTATTTTATTAATCAATTTGCTATCCTTTAAACACTTGCTTTTTTAATATTAGAGGAGCAAGGAGAACAAAATATGCCAGGGTATTAGACAAAGAGAACTTTTTTTCTTTCTTTCATCTTTAAAATACATTTATGTAATCACAAAGAGCAATTAATGACCTAAAGACAGTTCAGAGGGGAAAAAAGGCAAGGAAACTGATAGCAATCAGATTTGACAATGATTTCAGTAATTCAGTCTCATGAAAAGCAGCAGGAAAGGAGCTGCTTCATCCATGCCTGACAGTGCGAAGCAGGAAGTGTAAGAATGTAAAAACAAAGTATTCCTTTTACATTAAAAATAAAAGCTCTATTTCATTTCACAGTTATACTTAATTCCACATACAAACAGACAATATGGATGAGTAGACCCTGGAGGCAGGGGTGGACATATCACAAAAAGGTCAAAAATGTACCCAAACACCACCACAAAGCAAAGCAACACACCAGCAAGCATTGTTTCTTGTTTCAGTTATCTCCTATCAGCTTCATCCTAAGTATATATTCCTTAAACGTGAATGGTGAAAATGAGCCCAAACGTACAATAATATATGGAATAAAACTAGACCATCAAGATAGAATATCACGTAACAAAACCTCCCCCAAATCATTGTAAACGTCATAGGAAATGGACAACAACGTGAAAAGTTAAGATGCCTTTAGCTTTCCTGACATGGCCATAACCCAGCCTGAAACAGTCTCTTTACTTTGCAGATATTGTTCTCTTTTTCTCTGATCAACTCAGAAGGGTGATGAAATTCAAAATGTCATTCTTGCAATTTGGGACTAATACAAGCATGTGGGAGATCTAGGTACACTGGTTTCTCACAAATCACATCAATAACCTTGGAAGAAGTTTTCTAAACTTCCTGATTAACGTTTCTTGCAGCTGAAACTTTTTCAAATGAAGACATTTGTCTTAGAGTTTCCATGTACAAAATAAGGCTCTAGATACCAGTTAGACATGTTAAAAATATAAACAATGGACACATCTTTATGTTCAGTGTCTTTAAAGAGACAATGTCCTTAGTCTTATTTACTACTAGATATGTTTTCCAAAAGAGATTTTTAAAACAAACAAACAAACAAACACAAACACACACACACACACACACACATACACACAGAGTTTGATGAGTCATGTATTATCAGAGGGATGTTTTCATGTCTGTATCATTGCAAAATAAACCTATTAATTACATTTACTTCTCACCAACTAATCTGGGATGAACTACTTTTAAAAAATGTCTAATTCTACAAGAAGAGTGTTACAAAAAATATTTGTTCACAACAGACCTAATTGATGAATATATTTATTTCTCCTTTTCTGTGTATATTTTTTAATCACCTTTGCACGGAAGGACCTATCTGCTCCTGAGCAGATGACATAGCTGAAAAGTTTAAACCTTATCAAAAACAGGATATGAGATTATTTAAAAAAAAAGAATTCAAAAAGAAAAGTTTGTACCCCAGCCCTGCATTGTGAAGAGATAAAATATCCTTTTGCACAATCCACCAACTATGGATGCTGATCTTATTTGAGTTTTAATGGGCTGATGTAGATAGAACCCCTTCTTAGAGCAGTTTTTATTACATATATACAGATGCATTTAAATATCTAGAACGATAGATTGATTGTTTCCCTTCCAGTGTAACTCGATCACCATTGAACTCAACCCAAAAAGAAAGGGGATGGGGGGTGGGGTGGGGGGAGAAGATGGGAGACAAAAGTTGGTCTTACTTGGTGTACAAAAACATCAACTGGAGACTCCAAAGGGTTTCCTTCCCGGTTGATCATGGAGATGAACCCGAATCCCATTCGCACATTGAACCACTTGCAATGGCCTGTTCCATGCAAAACCTGAGATTCCTCCTCTTCCTGCTCTGGCAACTTCCCGGGCTCGTCTCCACCTTTACTCGCCCCTGCTGAGGAGGGGGAAAAAACACACACACACACACACACGATGCAAAGCAAAGAGTTAAATTCTGGTAAACGTCCTTTGCCTTGTACAAAGGGATTGCTCAGAGGGGAGAAAAACAACCACCCCCACACACCCGCACATTACAAAATCAACCCGTTTTCTTTCCCTGCACAGAAAACCATTTAAAAAAAGCACACAACCCAAAAAGGAGCCAGGGTAACAGAGAGGAAACCCAGCATATGCTCGCTCTCTGTCGCCCGGAACAGCCCACGTTTCTGTGTATACGTGTATTTTTCCATTTTACGCCGACTTTCAGCCATACTACACCGCAGAACGCGATACTTTACTTGAATATTGCTGGTTTAGGACCGATCCCATTTTCCAACAGAAATGCTCAGCTAAATTATTCTCTTCTTGCAAAGCGCGGGTGGGGGTGGAGGGAATGAGCAAAAAAGGGGCAGATTGCACAACAACGTGTTATTGCACATACAGCGGCGGATCCAGTACTATTTTCCAACGTGCATCCACCTCCCCCCCCCCTTGGAATCACTTTCAGTTAAAGTTGGGGGGACAGGTGTACAAACGTTTTCGCATCCCTCCACTGAAACTGTGTTTAATCGTACAGGAACAATTCAAACAATAGCCCCATGAAAGCTTTTCAAGTTGTGTGAATCGGTGTGGGCGGTACGGAACATTTTTGGAAATTCGTAACAATAGGTTTGTAGAAAGCCCCTCTGCGCGATCCGATTTAAAAAAAAAAAAAAAAGAATGGTGCCTAGTGGGGTTAATAAAGAGGAGGAGGGGGAGAGGAAGAGAGAGAGAGAAAAAAATAATAGAAAAACAATAGAATAAGAAAATTAACCTTCGGCCATGTTGCCCCACGGGCCCTCTGCTCCAAACTCGTGAGATGAAAACTTTCCCTTTGGATCGAAGTGGTCTTCTGCATCAATCTAACATCCTGATTTTGAACGATCACAAATTTAGCTCGCATGGTCTAATGTGCTTTCCCTCTTTTGATTTTTCCCCTTGTCTCTCCCTCAGTTTCTGGCCCCCTACGCACACGTGACTTTGTCAATTACATGCTTTCTTGCGACTAATTTCACATCAGATCCTTAAGGGGTTGGCAAGAGTCTGAAGTAGCCAATCGCCATTTCAACTTAGGCTGACACACCAAAATAATTTATGAATGAACAAGAAAATTCAAATACGAACTTGTCTTACAGCTACTTTGCACACTCCACGGGAAATCAAGATGACGTATTTTGGGGGTTTCTGTGCGCGTGTGTATTTACACATATGTGTAGAGATACACGTATAGCTACATATGGAGTTACATCCAACCCCTAGACATACAACTGAGATTTTATATATATATATACTGTCATAGGGAGGAGATATATTATGTGAATAGACACACAAATATGTATACAGGATCACATATACTATGTATGCATGCATAACCATATGTGCACTCTGTACAGATACACACCTTACTACACACATTGCCGTGTGTACAAAAAAATGTACATATTTGCAAGTGTTGCTACTTCCTTAATAAAAGTGGCATTTAAACACCTTTGAATTATAACTGTATTTTTGCCTTTTAACCTTGTATTTATTTTCTTGTAGACACGTTAGCCAAAATTCGACTGCTTCAGGGAATTTAACATGCTGATCACCTTATTTTAACCTACTTAGGTTGCCAGGAAAACTTTATATGTACTGCACGCAGAAACATATACACACTTGGGTTCAACATATACACAGAGAATCGCTAGTGTTCCTCCCTTTGTTTCACATGACTATTTCATATTCAAAAGAAACGCGTACCGGAAACGCGATATCACCTTAATATGGTTCAGAATGTGTTGAGGTTTAGCGTTTCAAAACATTTTTGGAGGGGGACGGGGCGAGGGATTGCACTTCACAGGTTTCTCCGCCATCTCTTTCCGGGGGAGGAGATGTGATTAATGACTTCCTAAATAAGAGCCCAGTTTTCAAGCCTAGCATTAGAGTGAACCTCAATCAGCAGCGATTGTTCTCCAGGAGCATGATGGAGGAGGAGGAGGAGGAAAGGCTGAAAGAGAACAGGAGAATTTGCTAGGCAGGAGGAAGACAAAAAAAAAAAAAAACAGGAGGAAGAAGACAAAGAGAAGAGGAATAATGCTGGCCTGGAGACTGCACTTTTAAATCTCCACTACTAGTGGGTGGGAGAGTCAAGCACATAAAAGAAAAAAAAAATCTAACTGGCTTGATACAGCTTTCACGTGTTCCTTCACGAATTCCCTTGGCATTGGACCTCTCTCAGGTATACAAGTAGGAAAGAACAATGTGTTATTTCTACTACTGTACTTCGCAACCCACGTATTTCAAATAATAGGTTTTAATATGTTAAGAAAAAATACTTATCAAAAATGCCTATTTCCTTCCTTTTCTTCCTGGGGAAGAACATGGATAAATATACAGTATATGTTTGGGTAGGCATAAAAAATATAAAATCACATTGCCCATTTTTTCTTGTCAGTAAACATCCTATTCACAGGCACTACACAATCATAAACTAAGATTTGGTGACACTTCTGCCCCTGTAACATTTAAAAGGTAGTTTATACCTTGTTAAAATCTGAGGACACTGGGTTAAATTATTTTTTGATTATTTTCTGGCATTACCCCTCCTGTCCCATCCACACAAACATAAATAAATAAAAAGCCAAAACAACAAACTGTGATCCGCCCAGATCTTGTACAATTGTATTTTATAAAATTTCAAAGCACTTGCTGTTTCAGTCTGCCCAATTAAGCAAACCCCCTTTGCTCTGATAGGCCTGTTTACTCTTTTTGTTGCTTTTCAGGAAAGTGTATAAATCTCTTTCCTTTGTCTTTAATTTCTGTTTGAAATAACAAGGTGCCCAGTTGAACGTTTGGTAAAAAGAGAAGGGGGTGGGCAAAAGTGTAAAAATACAAGCAATCTGGCAAGTGGAGCAGAAGCTCTAAATCCTGAAATTCCTTTGCAGTCTTCAACCGTAAATTTCCTATAGGTTATTTCAACAGTGGAGGTCGACTTCCTACACTGACCTGCCTTTACACATTTGTGCAATAAACCATTCCTTTTTTCGTTTCCACTTCCTAATAAATGCAATTATTTTACTAAGTTAAATCAGTATTCAACTCACTTTATCTATGTGAAAGATTAAAAACTAAATATTTCCTATATCTATATCTAATCTATATATATATATGAACTACTATATATAATTTCAATTCTGATATAATCAATGGAAAAATAAAAGCAGGGCAGCTGGAGAGAACAAATATTTAAAGCGTTTTTCTGCAAAAAGATTGAAAACGAATGTAGTGTATATATGAAAATATCTATCAACTATTTGATATGTCTACCAAAACCAGGAGGCATCTATATATATATGATTTTTTAAAATAGTATCTGTTATAAGAGTCTGTATTTTTCTCAGATTGGTCTCCTCTATCCGCATTTGGCTGAAAAATGCAATGGAGACTAGGCTCTTGGGTTTACCGATACTGGACGCAAATAAGTTGACCCAGGTCGTTGTTTTTTTATGGAGAAACTGTCCTTTGTTTCCAGATAGTTTGATATTTTTAAAGCAATACAGTATTATGCTTTTTATCAGAGTAAAGGGAGGAGTGTGAAAACAGCAAAAGAAAGCTGAATGCAAGTATAAGAGCTAGTTGAAAGGATTTCCTACATTACAAAATAAATGCTGATTGTGTAAATTACGCGTGTTGGGGAGGGGGGAGATTTGCAAGTGGTCTTTACTGAGATTTCCAGGCCTCCAGTATTTCTGGAATTAAGGTTGGGGTCACCGGACTGGTCACTGGTGTCAGATGTTATCGACTCATTCATTTCCTGCAAAGGACATCAGCCTTTCAAGTTTTGTGGAAGGTAGAGAGCTGTTGCCAGCTGGGAACCCTCAAAAACCTTCCAAAATTCATTCACAAACAATCGGCCACAAACACCCACTTTTTTTAAGCAGACCCAGGTCGGGGGAATTCCAGGATCATGGTCATATTTCAGGCGTTAGAAAGATGCCGCTGTCTTTAACATCGACTTGCTCTCCCCACAGAAAACGTGCTTTTTCGTTGAGATAATTACGCGGAGAAAGAAACGTATTCATGAAGCTGTCCCAGGACTCCTTTGGCATCAAAACGGCCAGAGCTCTGGGTGCCTGTTTTCTAATTTGTCATGTTTCTAAAACTTCTCTGGTTTTAATTTTTTTCTCATTTCCGATTTCTTTTAATACCCTTTTCCACTCCTCCCACCTCCATGTATTTGGATCAAAACTCATGTTTAACACTGTGAAAACTGAGCTCTTAAGATAACTTCGATTTACCATGTTTTGAAAACACTTTGTAGTTTTGCTCAGGTCGCTAATCAAGAAAAGCAGGAGCGCGCGCCTCTGCCATTGCCCTGTGATAACCACATCGAAAAGGGGGTGGGGGCTTCTCTGTTTGAACTATTATCATCACTCAGAGCTGGAAGCCCCAGGTTCCCCTCCCCCGACGGCCCATTTCACTCAACCGTGCCGGTGTGGCTGCGGGGGAAGAGGGAGCCCCCGCGCGCCGCGCTTGGTGTCCTTTCTTTTCGTGCAGATCAGAAGTGCCTGGTGCTTGGTGCGATGGTCTCTATTAAAACCAGATCCGCCGCTGCTGCGGTTCTTCCGAAAACGAGGGGGAGGGGCAGCGCCACTGGGGCTGGTCAGGTCAAGTCACCCACCCATCTCTCCTCCCCCACGTGGAGCCCGGTTCCAGGACCTGGCTGAGGGGCGCTCCTGGCTTTGCCTCGGAACTCACCCGCTTGGCAGGGACCAGACGCGACGGCGCCCTCCAAGCCTGGCCCCACGTGAGAGCCGGTGGACTCCCGCCTTTCGGGCACCTCCTGGTTCTAGCCAACCCGGGTCTGCTTCCACCCAGCCAGCCAACTTTCGGCCCCTCCCCACGTGAGGGGGATCCGCAAGGTCCCGCCCGAGCCGCGCTAAGCGGAGTGGACCTGTCACGGGGTGGTTCACGGTGGCTTTCTCATTGGCGCTGGGGGGCCGCCCAGTCCAGCCCCTTCGGCTTCAGGGAGAGCCCGTCCTCTCCAGGTTGTTACCGGCAGGGATGCCCCCGGGAAGTTGCATGTTTGAGGAAAAAGCTCTCCTGGGATGGCGAATTCCCCACTCACAGAACCTGCTCCCTGCTAGGAAGATCGGGTCTGTCCCAGTGGATCTAGGTAACGCTGCCAACCTTAGAGATGGTTTCAGAGTAGCAGCCCTGTTAGTCTGTATCCGCAAAAAGAACAGGAGGACTTGTGGCACCGTAGAGACTAACCCATTTATTTGAGCGTAAGCTTTGATGCATCCAATGAAGTGAGCTGTAACCCACGAAAGCTTACGCTCAAATAAATGGGTTAGTCTCTAAGGTGCCACAAAGTCCTCCTGTTCTTTAGTTTTGGAGATTCCTCCTGAGCCCTCACGTTAGGAACCCAGAGTCTGTGTGTCGGGGAAATAACACCTTCTCCCTCCCTCCCCGCCCCGCCCCGCTCCACACCGTGTTTCTCTTCACAGTCAGACTGCCCGGTCGGGGCTGTAGTATATCGGGTGTCGTGTCATGTCGAACGGTTTCGCCAGAGGAGTTGCAAGGGGGTAAGATCACGGCGTGAGAGAAAATATCAGCGGGTGCAAAGGCTCTTCGAGCCCATGGTCTCACCTGCAGCGCAGGCGCCAAAATTGTCCTCTGGTTCCTTCTCCGCTGCAGCCTGGGCAGGGGTTTCCTCGGCACCCCAGCGTTCATTAGAAACAGGGCCAGGGCAATGATCTCCTTTCTCACACGCATTTCTTTTTTTTTTTTTTTAACCCTCAGCGTTAGTTTTTCCGGGAGAGTTTTCTGGGATCATTAATGCATTCCATGCATTAATTTGAAATGCAAGAGAGGTTGGTATGGCTGCTTTTCATATTCAAATCTTCATTATGTGAAGATCCTAATTATTACCTATATAATCCCTCCACCGCAACCACTTTCCATTATTGACCTGCAATACAACGACCACTTCGAG